GCTCCGGGGTCCCCACTAGGCTCTGCCGCCGCTCCCGCCGCCCGGCCCGGGGCTCCCCATGCGGCGCGCAGCCGGCGGGCAGGTGCCGGTGCCGGTGCCGGCGGGGCGCGGCGGCTGCCCGGCGCGGGTGCGCTCCGGCTGCCCGGTGCGGCGAGCTGGCGTCGGCCCGCTCTGAGCTGCCGTGGCCCGGCGGCGGCAATAAATAGCGAAGGGCCGTTTGTTTTGGCAGGCGAGCGGCCGCTTGCGGGGCGCGGGGCGCGGGGCTCGGCGCTGCCGGAGCCCTCCGCGGTTTGCGCCTCGGCGGTCAGCGCGGCGAGGCTGGAGCCGGAGCCGGAGCCGCCGCTGCCTCCGCTCCCCGGGCAGGAGTGAGAGGGGAAATTGAAGAGATCCGGGACCGGGAACCGCCAGGACCGCACCCTGCCCGTGTCCCAGCCTCCCAGCGCCCTCCCTCTCTCGCCTCCTCCCCGTGGAACCTGCCCCGGGCCGCCCGCAGCCTCCTCCCCCCTGCCGAGCCCCGCAGCCCACCCCGCCGGGGGTGCCCGCCGCCACCTGCCCCCTGGGGCAGCCCCGCCGCCGCCCCAAGGCGCGCCCGGGCCGCCGCACACCCCTCGCCCCCCTTGGCGGGGCGTCCTGCGGGGGCTCCCTCGCGGCCGAGTGGGCGCAGGGTGGCACCCCCGGGGCTCCGGCCCCCGCCGCGCCGCCTGCTCGCCAGGGGCCCGGGCCTGCGGGCGGGGATCAAACAGAGCAGGGAGGCAGCTGGTTGAAATTTAACCACAATATTCTCGCTCCCCATTGTTTCCAGGGAGGCCCGATATTTCCACAACAGGATTATGGCATCTGATTAACTCGCTGAGACAACAATGAGGGGCTGGGATGGGCTTCCCCTTCTAGCTGCCAAAAGGGGAAAGTAAATATAACACCCTGATTTCAGGAGCGAGGGTTTGAAGGCCCCCCCCCACCCCGATTCTCCACCAGCTGTGTGCCGGGGAGGGGTCCTGCACAGGTCCACTTGCACACCCTCTGGTTCCCTAGGATCTTCCCAGGTGAGGCAGTGCCTTGGGATGCCCACACACACACAAACTCTCTCAGGGATGTTCCCTCACCAGCTCTTCCCTGAGTGCAGGGCACAGGTCACTCATAGGGATACAAGGTGGCCAGGTTGGAATAGCACTGCAAGACATCCAGCTCTGGCTGCAGGGCTTTGCTGCTCTCAGCTGACCAAGCAACCTGGGCAGGAAGGATGCAGGCTGGGGAGCCAGCATCAGCCACAGACTTGGGATGCTGCTATCTAATACCTCTGGCAGACCCTTTGCAGGAGCTGCAAGCAAAGTGCAGCTGGCCAGAGGTTTCTCCATCAGATTTCCATACTCAGTAGCCATGGTCCGTCAGGTTTTTGTACTGGTTTTCATACTGCATACCCAAAACCAGTGCCCAAAGCCTCTGTGAAGACCTGCCACTGAGCAGGATGGTGAGATGCAGCTGTCCCACTGCTCCTGTACATGATGGAGCTAGGGAGTCTCACCAGCAGCCCCAGGCCACCCCACTTCTACACTTCTTTGGTTGATCCTTCCATTGGAGCATCCTAAGGGCATCATCAGAGAGAGCACAGGGGATGTACCACAGCACCATTCTCCACCCCTGTCCCTGGCTTCTTCAGGGATGCAGAAGGGACACAACTCTCTGTGCATCACTAGCCCAGGAAAATTAGACCCTATGGACCCTGGACTAGATTCACAGGATCCTCCAGGGTGGTTTGTACTCCCAAGAAAAGGAGCCTAGCTTCCCACTTTGAGCATCACAAGACTGTGAAGCAGGATGATGTGGGATAGCACTGCATCTGGAGGCTGCAGCACTTCCCCAGGGAGAAGTTCCCTATGAATGCCAATGTCACAAACCCAGACCTCCAAATAACCTCTGCAGCCTGCCAGCATGCAGTGTGCATGGCACAAGCCCCAATCCCCCTCCCAGCAGGTCCAGGCTCACAGTAAGCAGCCTAGCCCTGCCCTTGCTGGTAATCGTATTCACGTCCCATGGAGGCTCAGGTTAGACCACAGGGCATTGGGTTTGCTGGTGGCAGCAACTCCTGCCCATGCAGGGGCCATGGCACTGTGCATTGTTTCTTGGCCACAGCAAGCAGTGACAGTGCCCTGTTGCTGGGTGCAGAGTCCACCACCTCTCCATGCAGCATTCCCAGCGTCAGCCAGTTCTCCTGCCCGGCAAAGCCTGCGGGCACATAGGGCCGAGCGGGACAGGGATATCAGGCACAATAAGGGAGCCAAGCTGAGTGTATGGGGAGGCAGCTGCAGGCTGAGACTGCGTTAGGATGACTAGCGCTCGAGGGAGAAAATCTGCCTGGGGAAGGCGACTGACGGGAAGGGACCCTTGCTGCTACAGTGGAGGTGGGAGAGCTGCAACATGTGTCCCTGTATCACATGGCATTTCCCTCAACACTCGCTCGCTCTCAGGCACCACCGGGGCTCCTGGCCTGCACCAGGACACACTGCTCCTGCCTGCCTTCCAATAGGGCACCAGCGCCTCTTTCCTCTGCCTTCGGGCTCTCCCCACCACCACATCCCACTGTCCCTACCCCGAGCGGCAGCGCAGCATCCCTCACACCCCTTGCTGGGCTCCCAGGGCTGCCCGGAGCTGGGCGCTGCGCAGGGTGAACGGGCGGCGGAGCCGAGCCAGGCAGTCTAGGTGGTGCTATTTCTCTATTTTTGCACTGGACGGGTTTGGGATTTTCCTCTCCCTATTCGCTGCCTTGGTCGTCTTCTTCTCTCTCTCTCTCTCCCTCTCTCTCTCTCTCTTTTTTTTTTTTCTTTTCCTTTTCTAAAAATACTTGACAGCGATTGAAAGGTCCCTTTAATCGAGGCCACAGAGCCCTTATTAAGGGCACGGGTCGGGGTGCTGGGCCGTGCCCAGCATAACGGCTTCATTAAACCCTGCGAAAACTAATATTTATGGAATCAAATTTATGGAGGCCGAGGCCGAACTTGTGGCCTTTAATGTGTGTCGGGAGCTCAAATCCAGCTGGCTCCAGGGAGGAGGGGGTGGGGACAGTGAAGGAGACCCCAGCAGGACAGGATGGGACAATGTGTAGTGACATTCCCTGGAGCTGGCAACAGCCTGGGCCAGGAAGGAACCAGTGACCCCAAGCTAGAGTCCTGAAGGCCAGGGTCCCTGCGGTTCCCTGGGGGACGTTGGCAAAGCTCTTTTTCCTACTGCCTTCACTCCCCTGCTTTTATTTACCCCCCATCCATCCTCCTGCATCCCCACCTCCCCTTGCCTTCGGAGAGGGGTGAATGGAACAGAATCTGTCCCTGCTGCAGGTCTTCAGGGCTGCTGGACACTCCAGAGACTTTGCAGCAGGACAGGGCTCAAGAGCAACATCTCTGCAGCATCCCTGGGACTGGCTTCCCTGAGCTGAGTACCCCAGGGAGAAGCAGAGACACAGTAATTCACAGGAATGACCCAGGGGTGCAGGTGCTGGTTTGCACCACCCACTCCTCCCCTATAGAGTACACCAGCCACTGGCACAGCCAGGTTGGGATTGTTTCAGCCCTGCCTCTCCCTGTGATGTCTCCCCAGACCCAAAGGGGATAGACAAGCCAGATGCCCTCACTGGGGTGATAAGCACTCCTTCTGAATGTGATGGCAGGCATGGGGGAACAGAAGAAACCCCAGAGCCAGCATGGAGCTGAGGAGCCATGCTCACAACAGAACAGCTCCTGTGCCAGAGATGGACTCCATATGGATGGGGCAGGGGTTGCACTGGGGACAACCTGGTGACAGAAGACAGAGGAAACTGTTAAGCTGCTAAGCTCCTGCTGCCCTGGTCCCACCCCTCAGGTAGTAGGAGGACCTCTCTGGGGGCATGTACCCAGCAGGGAGACTCAAAGCTGCCAAGATAAGATGCTTGCAGATGGGAAAATGCAGGATATGTAAGCTATGGCAGTCGGCACAAGCTCTCCATCCCATGGCATTCCCTTCTCACCACCCACCCTGCCCTGCATGCTGCTCCCTCAGAAAGGAAATATAAAAAGCAACTGGTTGCATTCACCCTGGGACTGGTCGGCTGTGGCCCAGCAAAAGCCCTTTCATTCCCCTTCCACAGACACAGGGACTGCTCTGGATGTTTTTGCTTCCCCCTTGCTGCCCAGGAGAACAGTCAGCATGACTGCAGCTGGCCTAGCCCAAGGACCAGGGCAGCTGGGGGCATGGGTCCCCATCCCATGAGAGCAGTACCACTGGCTGCAGCCTGCCTGCTGCCTGGCTCTCTGCCTGCTGTTTTGGGTCCAGGCTTGGGCACAGGAATGGGGTCCCAGGAAGCATGTGGACCCAGGGGCTGGAAGAGGAGAGCAGGAATGAATGGATGGATGGATGGATGGATGGATGGATGGATGGATGGAGTGTGAAGTGATGGAAGTGGGGTTTTGTGTCCAGGGAGCATCTGTAACCTCCTCCAGGGCTGCTCCCAGGCTTGGCAGCATTCAGTGTTGGTTGTCTCTTGCTCCTTGAAGGCCAAAGTGTGGATCAACCCTCTATCACCTGCCCAGTAACTATGGTGCTCTTGCCTGCAAATGTAGGGTGTTCTGCAGCCCACCCAGGGCCTTTGCCAGCCTGCTTCTGCAGGCACCAGCACACGGTGTGTATCCTGGTATGGGACAAGAACATGGGCTCCAGCCCCCTCAGCATGCTGTGCCCCCATGATCTGGGCATCCTCTTGTGCACACCCCAAAACACATACTGCTGCTCAGGGTGAGGCACAGCATGGCTGGGAGCTGTGTGCTGTGACCAGCAACGAGCTGCTGTCACCTCACTGTCCAGAGTCATTGCAAGGCCCTGAGACATCAGGACTGGCCTGAGGGGGACCCAGCAGCACCAGAGGTTACATCCCTTCCTAGACACTATAGGCCTGGTGGGACAGAGCAAGAGAGGGAATCTCACCCAGACACAGCCCTTTATTGAAAACCCACTCAAGAGCAGCCAAACCCCACAGCTCTGCCAGAGCCCCAGCTGTCCCACACCCACTGGCAGCATCCCTCCCACTCCTCCCATGTCTTGCACTGGCTCTGCCACGAGATGAAGCCTGGGCGAGCTCTGGACCAGGGAAGAGTTAGAAAAGCTGTTTCCTGAAACACTGTTGAAGAAAAGAGTTCCATCTGCCCAACTGAAGACATCTTGGGAGGGGACCGTGACCTGGGTAGGGTCCACCAGGAGATGCAGAGAAGAGGCAGACGATGCGTGGGTGCTCTGCACTCCATCTCTTGGATGCTGGGGGAAGCAGAGCCCTCAGCAATCTTTCAGCTGAAGAGCCCTTTTGCCTTCTTTGGCTTGGCCTTGGCTGCAGGCAACTGGGGCTTCTGAGATGGGGAGGAGGCTGGCTGGAAACAAAGAGGAGGCAGTGTCAGTTTCACCTTGGGGAGTCATGCAGGATGTGTGCAAGCGTGCAAGCAGTGACATTCCTGTCATCTGTGTTGTGGGACTGCAAAATATGCAGTGCAACATGTGCAATCACACACTCTCCAGTCAGGATGCATGGGGTAGAATGGGCTAGGAACCAAGCTGAGGCTCCTAGCCCATCCTGGATGGGCACAGTGCTTGGATGAGAGGAGGGAAAGGAGATGTGGGCCCCATCCTGCCTTTGGTACAGGAGACTTCCTAGAGCTGCACTCACCGAGGTTCTCTCGCTGGAAGATGTTGTTTCATCTTCCTGGGATGGAGCAGGTGGATGGGGGTGCTCCGTGGTTTCTGCAATGGGTGCTGTATCCACGCTGTCCTCTGGTACCAGAAAAAGATGCAATCTGGGATTAAGATAAAGGAGCATGGGGCATTGCCCAAACCCATTCCAGGAATTGTGCTTGGATTGTGAGCCCAGCCCATGGGGGGGAAAGCAAAGGGGGAGACTGTTGCATGGAGTGAGCTGCACCTGGGGCCACACTTCTCTTACCCCAGGATATGGGGCTCAGCAGTCGAGGGGACAGCTGCATCACATGCTCCCCATGCCACAGCCAAGGAGCTCCTCACCAGAGCAATGCCGTTTCCGAGCCTGCTTGGCCTCCTGCTGTGTCACTGCAGTGTAGAGCTGCTGCAGAGCAGAGGCAAACGCCTGCCCTTCTCCCGCACCGCAGATCTGGGGCAGGGTCTGTGGGAGAAAGCAGAGGCACCATCACCCTGCCAGGAAATCACCTGCCAGGTCACCCTGCCACGGTGCTGCTGTGGGGCAGAGAAGGGGCTGTGCCCCCCTCTGCCTGCCAGGCTACATCTGTTTCACCTCAGGACTGCAGCAGTTTGTGGAAACAGGCAGCTCTGGCACTGGGTGGGATGTGGCTGCTCCCAGCTGTGCACACACACACACACACATCCCTGCTCTGGATAGTGGGTTGCCTTCCCATTGAGAGGCAGACTGCAGAGGCTTTTGGGTCATTTGTGAAATGCTGGAGATAAGATCGCACTGGAAGGGCTGTGGCTTCCCTGCCTGGAGCAGCACAGGCTGCAGCCTGTGAATATGGACAGGGACATGACATAGCAAGAGGTGGGAACAGGTAGCCCCTGCCTGCCACCACAGCCTCCAGAACACGGCATCTCCGGTGGCCCCACAGAAAGTGAAAATGATGTGACAGTGAGATGAGGGATGCCCAGGTTTGCTCCTAATCTGCCAGAACAGCTCTTGCCTCCCTGCACACAAGTCTATTCCCTCCAGACTTGACACGGGAAGCCCTCCCTCCTCCTGCCTGCACTCCGTGCCAGTGGGATCCCACCTTTCCAGCTGGGCCATGCTGATGCACATGAGAGATCTTGGCAGGCTGAGGAAGCACCACACTCCACTGGGAACATAACATAGCTCACAGTGCTCAAACAAACACTCACAGGGATGGGGAAAAGCGTATGTGCCCCGGAGAGGGTGCTGCAGGGGGCACAGTGTGGGCCCACAAGTGCAGCTGAGTGTGAGCACGATGACGTGCGTAGGGACTGTGCGTGCAGCAGTGTGCAGATGAGCATGGCTGCGGGTGCATGCATGGCTGGTTGTGTGTATGTGTGTGTGTGTGTGTGTGTGTGTGTGTGTGTCAAAGGTCTGAACACACTAATCTCTGCCCTGCTCCACACCCAGACAGCAGGAGAACAAAGTGTAACAGATAAGGTAGGATCCTCTCTGGGCCAGGAAAGTGGGGAGGGGATGGGGACGCTCAGACCCACTCAAGGCCAGAGTCCAAAGCTTGATCCCAGTTTCCCAGTGGCAGAATAGGTAGGCTGAGCCCTCCTCACTGCTCCCTGCCAGACAGGTTGACAGGATAGGGCTGATACCAGGACGGGTTGGCTGGTGCCCAGACAGACACTTTCCATGCAGGTTGCATCTCTTCTGCTTTCACAGGCATGAAAGGCCCTTTGGCTGTAGGAAATGCATGGCACTGGCATCTGCTTTTTGACCAGCTGCTATACAGATCACCTCCTCTGTCCCTGCTCATTACCACCGGAGGGAGCAATGTTCTGCTGCCAGTATCCCACCAGCATTCCTGGGATTGCTTGGTACTGGGCGAGCACACCTCTTGATGCCTCACTGCCCAGCCTCCGAGCCATTAGCTGTGCTGGCTCATCACCAGGTTCTGGAGAGGAGGAGGAATGCTGAGCACATCAGGTACCCCAAAGATGTTCTTGCCCTGCATGTCTCACCCCACAGAGCCAGGGTTGCACCCAAGGTTGCAAGAGCAGCATCCAAGGCTGGGAAGGTGACTGCACTTCAAAGGCAGAAGGGGGCCTGGTCACGGGTGGCCGACACAACCCAGATCAAAGGCACAAGCTGGAGTCATAATTCAGAGAAAAGCAAACAGCAGTTCCCAGGAAAGTCAGGAATGGCAGTGAAGTGAGCAAAGTGTGCTAGATAGCACTGCGTGGGTCAGTGCCCCAGGAGGGCAGGAGAGTCCCCTGCAGAGCTGGCCAGCTCTGGGTGCCACTACTGTGGCACTCACCCCCTCTCCCTGTCACCAATGCATGCCTGGGGAATGCCAGGGCACTGGGGCAGGGGTGCAGGGTGCTGCCCAATCCCCTCTGCTCCAACCCATCCAGGATGGCAGCTGGGATGTGCCCCAAGCCCCAGGGTTCCTCAGGCTTCACAGCATTCAAGCAAGGATCTGGCAGGGCAGCTGCTCACTCAGTGCTCAGCCCCAGCTGCCCAGAGCCAGCACAGCGTCCCCATGGCGTCCCTGGGGATGGGGTAAACCATCCTGGCAGCCACCCAGTGTCCCCAAGAGCAGCACACACCCACCCACCGAGGTGGCACCTTGGGGAGGCAGTGGGAGAAGAGTGCCCAGCACCACCGAGGGGATTTGGCATCCGGGGTGGCACAGGGGTCTGCAGGTGCAGGGCACCTGCTGTCCACGCCTGCGGGAAGGGCTCAGCTCCAGCAAGCCCAGGGTGGAATTTGGGAGTCAGCGGCCACTTCCTGCCACTGCCCTTCCCAGCGGCTGGAGCCCGCGGGCTCAGGGCCACGGGGTGGCCGGAGCTGGCCCGCGGCGGGACTGGGAGGCTGCGCTTCACAGCCCCGGAGGGAAATGGGTTATAACCAGAGCTGGAAGCGTTTCCCTGCAGAGCTATGACTCAGCAGGGAGCAGAGCGTGCTGTGCCAGCCACCGGCCACCTGATGGCCTCGAAGGCTGAGAGGGACAACGAAGTGTCCCCTAAAGGGCTGGATGGGGGACAAGCCCTGGCTACAGCTGATTTTCCCCTTCCTCCTTGCCCCACTGCTCCATTCCGACGCTGAACCCTGCTGCAGACAAGTTGTCCCCACTGCAACATCAGCCCTGGCCTCTGGTGACTTGTTTTTCCCTGATTACCCATCTCCAGGATAAACATGATGTCTGAGGTCCGGGGAGCTGAGAGCAGCAGAGAGCTGGCAGCTGGGGGAGTGCTGGCCGGGTTGCCCCACACGAGTTGCCAGGCACCAGGGAGTGATGCCTCTGGAGCTGGCATGGCTTGTCTGGCCTGTTATGACTACCTGGCCACAAGGCCAAGTGGGATGCCCCAGTATCAGGAGGGACTCAAGGCTGTGGTAGCGGCACGGGAGACTCCGCAGCACACCCTGAACTGTGACTGGGGAAGGGGGGGTGCCCAGCAAAGGGGGGCAGGTGCCCGACCTCAGTGAGCAAGTTGTGAGCTCACTGACAGCCCCACCGTGTGGAGGGGCACCTCAGAGGGAGCTGGGCTGCAGCCTCTCTAGTGACCCCCAGCCCAGAGGCCTCTGCTGTGGGGCTGCACCCCAGTGCAGAGACGCAGCAGGGTCAGTGGTGGGCAGGGTACAAAATCTATCTCCAAGGCATTCTGCATTTACCCACCTCCTGCCCAGACTCTCTTCTCAAGGAGCCAAAAGGGACAGCAATCTGGATGTCCTCTTGACAGTATGAGCAGAAGGGGCACATCACCCAGCCCAGCACCATGCCACCAGCACAGGAGCATCACCTTTCCCTGGCCCAGGACGGGTTTGTAGGCAGGCTGAATCATGCTGGGCCCCCGTGCCACTGCCAAGCACCAGAGTCTAAATCGGTCATGCTCAAAGCTGGGGACTGACCCTTTCATTATCACACCAGACATTCAAAGCGGTTACCAACATTCTTCACTACAAATCCCACACTCCTATTTTTTAATATATTTTTAACTGGAAAACAGAGCGAATGGGGCCTGTTTGGAAATTACAGCCTGGCTGCTGTGGCTTGTATGTCGGATCTGCCCACATTCCCGTGGCCAGCCTCAGCACATGCTCCACAGGGGCACACTTAATAATTCCTGCCAGGGCTGGAGCCAAGGGGTGTGCTCCAAGGGGGAGGATGGCTTCCCCAGACTGCCCCTGCCAGCGGACTCCATGGAAGCAGCGTGGTGGAGTGACAGACCAGGAATGGCAGACTGGCTCTCTGGCACTGGGCACAGCTGCTGCCACACTGCCATGGATGAAGTCTGGTGCTGCTGTGGCAGTTGATGGTGGGCAGGGGAAGGGCTCCATGGCTGGTGCATTCCTGTGCCTCATAGCCAGGCTGCCCTTGGCACTCTACCGTGCCACAAGCTTTGTGCATGCTTCTGGGAATGGGGCTGGAATGGCTTACTGGATCTGTGCCGGGCATCTCTGATTGACTATGTCAGTCAGGCTAGGGAGAGACCCCCTCTGGGATCCAGAGAGATGCTTGCCCGTCCTCTGCCAGCAGCAGAGGATCTGTCGGCAAGAGAATAGATGGAGAGGGTTGAACTGTCCCCTTCCAGCTGCTATGAAGGGCAGGGAAAGGGGGTGCTTATTCCCTGGGTTGAAACAGGCCACATCAGCCCAGTTTCCTGCCCCAGCTCCCTTGTGGTGCAATGACTCTCTCCCTGGGGACAGAGCCACCTCCAGGCACCCCGAGATGTCCTACGCTGACCACTGATGCTGCTCCAGTGGTCATCTACTTCCACCCTCCACCAGCCTGCAGCAATACGTGCGACACTGCATACCCCAGAAGCAGGTGGCAAAAGGACCAGCTCTGAGCTCGCACTGTCACTGTGTCCATCCCCCCTGTCATGCACTCCCAGGGGACACACAGCAGCAGCAGCAGCAGCAGCAACAACAAGGAGAGCTGGTGGTGCTGCCAGCCCGCCCTTGGAGCAGGCACGGGCAGCATGGCCAGGGTTTCGCAGGCAGGCAGCCAGGCTGAGCACACCTGGCAGGAAGCGGCGGTGCCGGCAGGGGAAGGCAGCCGGAGAGCTGCTGAGAGGTGAAGGGGTCACCCCGGGGAAGAGCGGGTGGTGAGGCCGGGACAGAGGAGCATCCCAGCCCGGCCCAGCCCAGCTCAGCCCAGCCCAGCCCAGCCCGGCCCGGCATGGCACAGCACTCCTCCCAGCACCGCTCTGGCCCTGCTGCCGGCAATGTTTTCCTTTCCCTCTGACTTCAGGGGCCTTTCCAGCGAGCAAATGTCAGGCACATAAAGAGCGGCACTGTGAGCGGAAGATGGAGCGAGAATGCCTGCCCGCGTCCCTCCGTAAGTGCTGTCTCACACTTCATCAAGGCAGCCTTTGCAAGCGAGGCACTCGCTTAACAACCAGCAGTCTATGCTGGCCGGCGACCGCAGCAGCCCCGCCGCTCAATACCCTTTTCTTTTCTCCTTGCGCTGTTTTTGTGGCTTGGGTTAC